ATATAAAACCCAAACACCCCCCCACACACACACACACCCACACACACAGCCGCCTCCTGACAGCAGGTCTGAAGGTCACGGCTACAATGGAGCCGTAATGAAATCAGAAGCAATTAAAGTTCTAATCGTGTTTGCGGTGAGGATGTACGGCCGGGGTCGCCGGGGTCGCGGCGCCTGGTTGATGAAGCGATGATGACATGTTTATGGCTCACGCGGCCTGTAGGGTCTGCACCCACAAGTGTGTTTACATCAAGTACTGGTTTTCTTCTCAGATATTGGTCGCTGGTTAGCTGAGTCAACAGCCGCCAAGTGTTAAGATATAGAACTGCACAAAAAATATTTTTGAAAAATCCATGAGATCCATGGTCAAAAGGTGGTTGAAAAACATGAAAAAAAACCTATATTAACCTGTGAGAAAATCCTTACTAGCATGTATTCAGAAATTACAACCAATGACGGACCAAGAAGGCAACACTCTCTGTAGCCTAGCAACATGCATCCACTGTATGTCTGGAGGTGTTGTTCCTAGAAATGGTGGCAGTTTACAACGTCTTCATCTCAGAGCAGAATTGTTATTCAATTCAATATTAATGAATCCACAGTCGACGTCGTGTTTTTCTCATACGTTCATTCATTTTAGACCAAACTGTGTCGTTAGCCAAAGAAAATGTTATCACTTCAGCTTTGATTTCATTTCACTTCTCTCTCTCCACAGAATAACAAACTAGTCTCTGCTCAGCTGTTTACATATTCAGACACGTCCCTGATTCTGATATAGATATTCTCTGGATAATGAGCCGACTATTTACATTTAACTTTTCTCCACCGCGTCTCCTCGCCGTCTTCTCTATCACTGCCTTATCGCTCTTCCTGGATCTGGATCCCCCCCCCCTCCCCTCTCTGCCTTCGCCCTCCTCCTCTTTTTCTCTCTCTCTGGCAGATGAATCAAATATGTAAGCTATTGAATGTGAATGAATAAAGCATCCCGTCTCAAACACACACACACACACACACACACACACACGGTGACACCTTATTAACCACATGTCATCGGCACATGCAAGCTGGAGCTCACACACACACACACACACACCCGCACTCACGCATATAAACAGACACACACGGTTTCCACTTATACACACACACACACACACACACACACACAGAGAGAGTCACGCACCAACCTTCCTCATTAGTTTATAGACAGTCAGACTTTGTGGAAGTGCATTTGATTGGAAAGATGTTTGACATTCATGAAGTTACACACACACACACACACACACACACACAGCAACGGATCGCTGTATATTTTGGGTCCAAACGACCAACAGAGTCTCAGTGAAACTGGTTCAAACTGGAACAACGTGAAGATTTTGGTGTTTAAAAAAAAAGTTTCCTTCGACCAACTTTTTAAAGATGACAAAGGAAAACAGACAGAAAACAGTGGAAAGAAAAAAAAAAAAAACTTTTTCAGAAGCCATTTTGATTTGTCTTCAAGAGCTGTCAGAAAACCAGCGCCAACCTGGACGACTGACGAACCAACTCATCCAACAAACCAGTCTGGAAGTTAGAAGGTGTCGGTTTGTTGATTACTTCACAACTAATTATTGATTAATTATTAGGATCACGTCTTTGAACTTCTGCTCCTGATTCAGATTAAAAAAAAACAAAAACCCTCACCTCTGACGATGAGACCGGCATAGTTTGACACGCCGGATCCACGCTCTGATTGGGTGACACACCGGTACGCGTCTGCATCCTGATTGGTGACTTCGTTCAGGTGGAAGGAGGCGGCGAAGCGTCGGTGGTTGATGTTCTTGGTCTGAGCCACGGGGATGTCTTCTCCATTTCTCCTCTAAATCACAGACAGATCAAATTGATGCAGGGTTAACTGCTCAGCTCAGGGTCACACAGGCGGCAGCAGATAACACACACACACACACACACACACACACACACACACACACGCCTCCTGACAGCAGGTCTGAAGGTCACGGCTACAATGGAGCCGTAATGAAATCAGAAGCTATTAAAGTTCTAATCGTGTTTGCGGTGAGGATGTACGGCCGGGGTCGCCGGGGTCGCGGCGCCTGGTTGATGAAGCGATGATGACATGTTTATGGCTCACGCGGCCTGTAGGGTTTTAATATGTCTGCACCTACAAGTGTGTTTACATCAAGTACAGGTTTTCTTCTCAGATATTGGTCGCTGGTTAGCTGAGTCAACAGCCGCCAAGTGTTAAGATATAGAACTGCACAAAAAATATTTTTGAAAAATCCATGAGATCCATGGTCAAAAGGTGGTTGAAAAACATGAAAAAAAAAACTATATTAACCTGTGAGAAAATCCTTACTAGCATGTATTCAGAAATTCCAACCAATGACGGACCAAGAAGGCAACACTCTCTGTAGCCTAGCAACATGCATCTACTGTATGTCTGAAGGTGTTGTTCTAGAAATGGTGGCAGTTTACAACGTCTTCATCTCAGAGCAGAATTGTTATTCAATTCAATATTAATTCATCCGGTGATTAGCCAAAGAAAATGTCCGGCCCGACTTTATTTTCCTGGCTTCATGACAGCAGTACTCGTACCTGCAGCCACAGCTTGTTGTTGGACGTGTCTCTTCCCGTAGCAATGCACTGAAACGTGGCGTTCTGTCCAGCGTTCACCTCCACGTCTCCAAGTCGAAGGAAATGTGGTGATTTGTCTGCAGGAAGTGGAGAAAAAAAAAAGGGGGAGAAAATGAGAGAAACATTCATGTCTGTGCTAACGTGCATTAGCGCCTTCTGTGTTTTCATTTCTCTTGTCTGTTAGAGGCAGAACTGAGGTGACGGAGCCGAGGGGGGGGGGTGTGTGGATCCAAACAGGTCTGAGCACGGCAAACACCACAGCTACAGTGAAGGACCTTTTATTACCCGGAGGAGTGTGTTCATTATTACTGCGATTAGATTTTACTGGAGTCGGATGAAACCAAAGGCGGTTGTTGCGGTGCCGCCGGGAGGAAACGTCAGTGTCACGTTGAGTCCGTGTGTGATTCACGCCGCCTCCAGTTATTAACTGCTATGCTAAAATATGAAATGAGGCTCTGGACCCTGAAGATGCACTTCCACCTATGACATTTTTATTCTAGGGAGGTGATTGCAATCATAGATAGCAGCTCCCATGGTGAATGAAAACACACACACACACACACACACACACACACACACGCCCATGTGTCCAGAATTGCAGCTGTGAGGATGAATGCTTCCACTGTGGAGACTCAGTACTAATTCCTCTGCTCGTACTCGGTGGCTCTGAGGAGCAGCGCGGCCTCCCTGACCTCAAAAGACTCTTCTTTTTTTTTTACACCCTTTCTCAGAGCGCAGGTTGCTCTGGTGACAAAATGAATGGTCAGTGGATACTTTCAGCGCGGTATTGACAATCCCTGACAGAGACAAGAACAACAGGGAAGCCGGGACAAGAGGAAGCTGCAGGGACACCACATCTCTACCACTGCTGATCAATAGAATCTATTAAGAAACAAAATTGTGGTGAAAGATTCCAGGGCCGTTTCTCAGACGGATGACCAGGAGGAGCTGTAAATGCTTCCCGTCACACACGCTGGTCCGCGGCTCCAGATTAACAGACATGTCTGTGAGCGAGCAGACGTGGTTTTATGTCACGGCTCTCCTCGTTGGCATGCAGCGGCAGGGAAACGCTCAGGCAAAGGAAAGGGGAGGACTGGAGACGGAGTACGAATTTTAAACCCCCTCACCTCTTTCCTGTCAGCGTAAGACAAGACAGCCAGTGTTCACTGTGTATGTGTGTGAGAGTGAGAGTGCACGTAGGTTAAAGAGAGAGAGAGAAAGTGCTGAGTGGTAGAAATCTCCTCTCTCTCTCTCCCCATGATTGCCCTAATACTGTCTCATTTCCCGCTTCACTCTCTTCTATTCCCTCCTCACCTCCTTTCTCCACTTCTACTTCTTCTTCTTCTTTTTTTTCTTTTTTTTTCACTATGACCTCTTCCACTTCTGGCTGCAGCCCTCCTCTCCCGTGTCACCTTCCCACTTATCGACCCATTCAGCTGCAACAAACACCATCCCAGGTACAGTCTAATTAGTGGCCAAAGCTATCAGCGTCCATTCAGCCAACTAGGACTAATTGCTGGCATGCTAATGACTCACCGCATGGGTAGCTGAGCACCTGAATGTCATCAATGGCAATGAAGCCGGCTTTGCTGTCAGAAACCTCGGCTTCAAATATGACCTGGGAGAGAGAGAGAGAAAAAAAAAAATTCATTAGTCTGCACTTTTGCTTACTGAGAAACCCAGGCATCAGTGATGAGAGGGGAAAACTTTAAGTTAGTAAAGGAGCCTTTGGCCCTGGAGGCCTGAAAGAAGTAGGAGTGACACAACAGTTCACTGACGGTTCACCCTCCGTACTGACCACAGAGGACGAACTCTGGAGACACACAGGTGTACGGAAAAGAGGCCAAAACCTGAAGTGGTTCCTCTAAAAACAAAGACCTGTCACCTGTGTCCCCTGTGTCCCCTGTGTCACCTGTGTCCCCTGTGTCCCCTGTGTCACTCAAACCATGAATAAAAGATACCTTTTCAGCTTACTTGCTAACAGCAAAATACCATAGACAACGTCCTGCAATTTTTATACAAAGCTCGTTCACGTCACTGTGTGTGTGTTACTGCAGTGATCGTTGATCGTTGCCTCCATTTTGTTTTTGTGCTTCAGTCACATTCTCTCATGTAAACACTGCTGGGTCAAAGATGCCTCTCAAAATGGAACATTAAATTACAAATTTGACATCATGTTTCATGATCTGAAAAAACAAAACCAAAACATTTTCCTCTGTTTTTTACGGGGATGTTTACTGACGCCACAGATCGTACCGTCTTCAGGAGCCTCTATTTCCCCAAGGGCTTCCATTTCAACACTTACTTCCCAAAACACCTGAGTAGTTTCACGAGTTTTCAATTTATTATAAACGGTTTTGTTTCTTTACACGGTGCTATCAGAAGAACAGAGGTGATTATCAGAAAACCATTCTTCTCAGAAAGTTCTTTCTCTCTCACTGGTGTGAGGCATAAACAAAACGAAGAATGAAAAAAAAAAAAAGTGAAATTGAACGAGCTTAATCACCAACTCTCCGCTGCGCTGTTACACAACGATAAAGCGTGCCTCTGAAGCGCAGCATAAACAAAACAATTGCCAGTTTAATTTGCTGTAAAAGTAATGGATTGAGTCTAAATCGCTGCGAAACACGACGACGGACACCAGCGCAGAAACAGGCCGCCGTCCTGGCTGCAGCTGGATGGTTATATATATATATATATATGTCTATAATCAGAGGAGGATGAAGATGATGCTCCACGCCACCTCCTGGTAATCTTCTTTGGTGCACATTAAATGGCCGCTAAGGCAGAGATAATAACGTGAGAAGGCGGGGAATAGAAACGTTAACCGTCTGGAATCTGATTCTTTTCTAATCTCATAACTTTTTTTTTTTTCTGCTTTCCACTATCAGAGCACTGTCATGAAAAAATAACACATCTACATACAGGCTCTCTCTCTCTCTCTCTCTCTCTCTCTTTCATTGCCACTATCTAACAGACACCTGATGTCGTTACCTGCCGTTTCCTGCTTCCTGGTCGGTTCATATCAGTCACCGCTGGGCTACCAGCAGCGGCATGAAAGAATTATTCATAAAAGAAAAGACTAGCTTTTAGCATTTTATGGTTTCTCTCCTTCCTGTGAATGAGAAAGCAGCTCCATTTTTTTTTTTTTTTGGACAGATTACGGTTGGATAGAACAGCCATTAGTACGGACGCGACCACAGCTGCTGGCCCGGTCGTGGACTGATAAACCGGTGTGAGGAAAATGCAACTCAGCAGACTCACATTTGTCTGTTTTTTTAACAGACAAAACCGCAGAGATGGAATAATGAGCAGCGAGAATGGAAATAAAAGAGGGAAAAACTGTGAAAAAAATGTGGAGAAAAGACGATCGAATCACAGCAGCAGCCGTCTCTCGGTGACCTTTCTCTGGAAGATTCTGCTGCAACAAGTGCCTCCGTTCACCACCACTGCAGTTCATCAACTGAGCTATGACTGAGAAAGACTGCGCTGGTCTTCATCCATCTCAACTATCTCCATCTCCCCCCTCTCCTCCTCCTCCTCACCCCATCATCCTTCCTTTTTATTAATATTTCTCCCCATTAATTTGTCCTTCTCTCTCAGCTGCTGCTCTCTAGCTGTTTACTCAGGAAAGAGAAGCGAAGGAAGGGGGGGGGAGCGGAGGGGAGGGGGGGTTGACGGGGTCGCTATCAAAGAGAAAAGAGTGAGAGGGGGAGTAAAAGGGGGGGAGAAGTTGTTGTCATTCATCACCAGTAAAAGGAAATCTGCCGTGAACTGTTTACCCACAGCTTATCACCCCCTGCGTGTCACCCCCCCCTCAACCCCTCCTTCCGTGACCCCCTCCCTCTCCCCGTATCGTGTCTCTCGCTGCTGCTATCATCTTTCACTCACAGCTCACCGTGGAAAGTCATCAGTTGACTTTTAATGCCTCTGTCAGTGCCGTCCTGAGGTTCAGCGCGCCCGTCTGTCCGTCCGCCACAGTCGGCCGATTACTGCCTATCGTGACGCCTGTCTGTCTTTATCTGCATGTTTTTTTTCTTCTTTATGCTGATTTCATTTCGCTGGATCCGTGAACGTGCCCGGAGGCAACGCAACGTGTGCCTGAATTTTCTGCGGTAAGAAGTAAAAGTAAAAGTGAACGGGATGGACGGAAGGCAGCGTTAATGACGGGGTGTGTCCTCGAGTCTTCATGTGGTTGAAGTGCTGAGGGCTGACATGTCCTCACGTCCTCTGATCATTAATCACACACATCACGCCGGCGTGCACACGTTTGGACACGGAGGTGCAGAGAGGTGAAGGTGTGTTGACGTTTGTCTGTAGGAACTGGTTTCTATGACAGTTATCTGTAACGATTAAAGATGGCGTCCAAGAGTCCCTGACGTCTTCATGTTGTCTGACAACGAGGTCTTCAGATAATCCTGCAGTTGAGGTTTCCAACGTGGGGGTCGCCGACCCCAGGGGGAGCGGAGGTCAAATCACGAGGATCTGAAATGTTCCTCTACAGTTTGATACTGTCCTCAGGTTGGTTATGAAGGACTTGACCTTTGACCTACACGTGTCTCCATCTTTAAAACTATAAGGCCCATATGAGAAGCTAGATTCTTTTAAGTTGATTTATTATATGTATATATTAGTTCATAATCATTAAACATTTTCTTGATTCGTTTTTAATTCACGTCTTTCTCTAAAACAAACAAACAAACAAAAAACAGGAACCGTTTGTCAAAAATTGAACCAACAATTACAAAACCAACTTCAGCTCAGGGACAGTGAAGCTCTTATTCTGACACCAAACCCTTTGAATTAACCTGACATTAAAGCTCAACTTTTAAAGCTGAGGCTGGTGAAACTCCCATCAGCCCTCATGTCAAATCAAGCTTGTATGTGTGTGTGTGTGTGTGTGTGTGTGTGTGTCTTTTTCTTCCCTCGGTGAAACTCGTCTCATTACAACTCTAGCCAAAGTGCTAACACAGAAACACGTTCCAACATGAGACAAAAAAAAGGAATGGCTTCATAACCTCAGATCTAATAACCTGAACCTCGTAGCCTGAAAATCCAACATAAGCCTCAGCAAACCAGGATGATTAAGTTCAATTAAAACATGTTGACACACGAGTTTCGGGGCTGGTGATCCCTACCTACGGTCACAGGGGGGGGGGGGGGGAGATGCTTTCACACTTTGCCTTACAGTAATATCACACGGTCCCTAGACTGAGTGTATTAACATAATCAGCATGTTGTTGCCTGCTAGGACCCACCAGGCAACACACACACACACACACACACACACACACACACACACAGCTTCTGTATCAGTGCAGTTCAATCATTTACTCCAGGCAACACAAAAACAGAAAAGATTTTCCAGCCTCACATCATGCATTTGTCATGAAAAAACAAAATCAAATCTTTTCAGGAAATCAGTTGTTTTTCTAAGGATCTTTTTGTGGAGTGAGTATTTTTTAACAAATAAGTTTTAATTCTCAAGGTCAGAATCACTGACCCCACAGACCAGGAGGTTCAGAAATTCAATATAAAATAAAAATCATTTTGATTTCCCTTAAACCTGTGAACCCATTCACACACATTCATTCAGTGATTTACCTGATACTCGTTGGGCCAAAAGGTGGAAATGGCCAGTTCAGCCTTCAGCCAGCTTTTACCTGGACGACAATGTTACAGTCAAGACACAAGACAACTCCATCACAACCAGGTCAGAACAGGAGGCCGAGGAGCGGCGTTTACCAGTGTAGGACGTCACGTTCCAGATGGGGTTGGCCACGGGAAGCTTGTTAACCTGGAGGTAGGAGAGAAAAAATAAATAAACATGGTTTAATGATGAAGATCACGTCTCCATCGCAACCATAATGAGGGTTCCAGGGAGGTCAAAGGTCAGGAAATCAGCCAGGATGCAGAACTTCTGAGACACCCACAAATTAGTTTTTTGCATCGTGACCTTAGGATGAGATATTTATGAGCTGGGAAACGACACGGTCTTCTGTTAACCTTTAGCAGCCAATGTGTTTTCTGACAGTTTCCACGTGTGACGTGAAGTAAAAAGAGAACGAGAGACGGGAGGAAACTGTAAGTGGATCTTTATGATCATTATTTAGAAAACACAACAACCTTTGGACCCAATAATAATAAGAATAAGAGTTCTGAATAAACACGTGTTGTTGTTTTCTTGAGGTTTATTTACGTGGTTGTCTTTTGTCTATTTTCCCGCCACTTACATTGTGCACCACGTCAGTTCGGTGTTCTGAGCACCTGTAGCTGCTACGTACACACATATGCTAGTAATTTTTAGCCGACTTTGTGCCCTCGTTCAAAGACTGAGAACACGACAGATGTGCCAGCGTCACAATCTGAAGAAACTGCAAATAAAAGCCTAAGATTTTAACCAGAAGGTAGGTATGTAGAAGTGATGGGTATGCTAGTGTGACAGTGAGATACTGCAGCTGCTCTGACCCCTGCTAGAGTCCTGGAACCCATTAACTAGTGAAAACTAATTTAGCAAAAGAAGCTAAATGAATGAATACAAGTTACTATAACAACAATATACTTTTCTTTTTTAAAAAAGCAGCCAAACGTGACCATCAGTTCTAGCACAGTCTTATCAGATCACATCCTGTTGACGATGGTCACCTTGACTAGGACATTGAGCGTCCCGGGGCTGGATCCGTCCGGGCTGGTCAGGAGGTAGTTGAAGTCAATGCAGTGGGTGTCGTTCTCCTTCATCACCGGCAGCTGAAATTTGGCCTTTTCTCCCACATCGTACTGGGAGACGTCCACGTACATGTAGGAACCTGAACACAGATGAAAACACAAAGAAAGAAATCCTCAGACACCCACGGGATTCCTGGATCACATGATTCCATCACAGTAAAACACACAGTTGTCATATCATTTTCCCCCT